TTTTTTCCACAAAATGATTGGCACTCTTGTTAGTCGCATCAGATAAGCACTTCGTTTGAATTCACCATTATCTTGTCCCGCTTAGCATCCGCTTTCTGTAGGGCGGTAAGTTATTAAATGAAATCAAAGATTCTACTAGGCATGCAGTCTAGTGCTCTCATTACTTACCTCTTTAAGCGCAATACCTAAAAATGAATCAGTCTTTGCTATACAGGGAGAGTTGATTTATTCCATTTAACCCCTTCACCTTATTGGCGAGGTTTGAAAGCGCTAAGTCATAAAACTTCACTATAAAATATGGACTACTTTTTCATCACTTTATCCAGTTGATAGCTTAACAATTAGCAACAGATCATCTTTTTATGTAGTCTGGTTTTTAACTCAGGCATTAATTCAGGGTTGAAAAAATCAACTAATAAGAGATTTAAAGTCCACCTCTACTTAAGTAGTATAGCCAGAGCAAAAGTTAAAACCACAAATTAGCCAAAACGCATTGCACAGTAGCACAAATCACTTACAAAGCTTCCCGAAATTCGACAGTTATGTATCAGAGTGGCGGAAAATTGCAAAGCAAAACGAACGTAACTATGGGGTGTGGGTGGGTGGAGAAGACCTTTCCATTGAGCCAACCATTGAGGAGGAGTTGGAGGAGGAGAAAGAGGAGGACAACCTCCCCATTTTACTAAATTAATCGTCTTTGGCGACCCTGATGTGAGCCTGATTCCTATGCATGCGTATATTAGACAAAAAGGACCTGTTCGGCGACAACCAATGAGTAGATGAAGGCTGTAGTAGCAGTAGTAGGGAGGGTAGGAATGTTCCCCTGACATCACGTTTGTGGAAAGCAGAAAAATAATTACTTTGAAGACGTTAAATTCCAGTTTACCCAGTCATACCAAGAGAATGTGTAGTTTGTTTATATTGTGAGGGAGAGAAGGAACAAAGAAGGGCTTAAATCCCTAACCAATGTTCGATTTCGAGACTCCTGGAGGCAAGAATCAGTGGATATGTGGAGAAAGACCCAGCTGATTGTGAAACAACGATAGTTTCATGTTGAAGTTTCAGGTGTTGCTTATAAGACATTCAAAGCGCACAAATGAGGTAAAGCACTGGCATGCTAGAAATTCGCCACTTGTAAGTATCCCTACAAAGGCCTTATGCATAATTATTTAGGAAGAAAATGAGTGTGACCTATCCCAGTAAGGAAATATTGTTAGGGGCTTGGTACTTATGGGCTTGATTGCCCTCCAAATCGGCATGTGTCATTCACTCGCTACTGCTTCCTTATTCGATAAGAAAGTTGGGATAAGGCATGACGTGATTTATTTTCAGCTCCAGTTTGCATTTCTTAGTTTTGGTGTCACAAATATGTGACCTGTCCATTTGCGTATTGTCTCTAATTCCTTGCGTCACACAAGTGTGACACCCATTTAGTAAAGATGCAAACATGGAAAACTGTGCCGATTGGCACATTGTTGTAGTGTGATAATCGTCCTTAGTTTTTGTTACTTCACTGCAGGTAGAATAATAGCAAAATTTGTTCAATACTTGGG